GTGCATTGGTGGTTCTTGGTTTCCGGGGCTGGGCACTCAGGTATGTACCGGCTCACTCCCGATGGCTACCTGGCGGGGCCTGGGGCCTGTTGCTCGGTCAGGCCTCCTCCGGGGTGCGGGGGCCTCGGGCCTCCGGCCTCTGGGCCTGCGGCTCGGTTCACTCTGGCACAGCTGGCTGCCGGCAGAGCCGGTCAGGCACGCCGGTGCAGCCCCCTCTAGCTTCTGCTCGGTGGCTACTGGGTGACGCCTCGTCTGGGGATCCTCAGCCCTTCCCCTCAGCCTCGTCTCGACTGAGGACGCCATCATCTACCTGCTCAATCGTGTCTACACCCATCTGGACCAGCCGGCGAGCACTGTGAGGGTCATGTTTTTTGACTTTTCCAGTGCTTTCAACACCATCAGGCCGACCCTCCTGGGTGATAAGTTAGCAGCGATGCAGGTGGATGCTTCTCTGGTGTCCTGGATTGTTGATTACCTGACAGGAAGACCACAATATGTACGTCTCCCACAGTGTGTGTCTGACAAGGTGATCAGCAACACAGGGGCACCACAGGGGACTGTCCTCTCCCCCTTCCTCTTCACCCTCTACACCACAGACTTCAGCCACTGCACAGAGACCTCCATCTTCAGAAGTTTTCTGATGACTCTGCGGTGGTTGGATGCATCAGCAGGGACGATGAGACAGAGTACCGGGCTGTGGTCGACTCCTTTGTCACGTGGTGTGAGCAGAATCATCTGCAGCTCAACGTGGCAAAGACCAAGGAACTGATCGTGGACTTCAGGAAGACCAGGAAACACTTGACCCCTGTTTCAATCCAGGGGGTCAGTGTTGACATTGTGGAGGACTATAAATACCTTGGAGTACACATTGACAATAAACTGGACTGGGCTAAAAACATCACAGCACTTTACAGGAAGGGCCAGAGGCGACGCTATTTTTTGAGGCGACTGAGGTCCTTCAACATATGCCAGAAAATGCTGAGGATTTTCTACGAGTCTGTTGTGGTCAGTGCAATCCTCTATGCTGTTGCATGCTGGGGGAGCAGGCTGAGGGTCGCAGATGCCAACAGACTTAATAAACTGATCCGTAAGGCCAGTAATGTTGTGGGGATGGAGCTGGACTCCCTCAAGGTGGTGTCGGAGAGGCGGATGCTGTCCAAGATAAAGACAATGTTGGATAACACCTCCCACCCACTCCATGACATGCTGGTCAGTCACAGGAGCTCGTTCAGTGAGAGACTGAGATTACCCATGATGCACCACTGAACGACACAGGAAATCTTTCCTGCATGTGGCTCCCTGTACAACGCATCTACTTAACACACTGGTTACTGCAACAGCTACACACGTTTCTTTTCCAGCTATTTATTTATGAGTGACTTATGAGTGACTATGTATATATTGTACTATTCTTAGTTAGCATATTGTCTGTCTTGTCTTAATGTTGGTTTATAATGGAGCACTGTAACAAAAAATAATTTCCCCCAGGGATCAATAAAGTATTCTGATTCTGATTCTGATTTGACCTTGAGAAATTGACCTTGCTTTATAAAAAGCCCTCCGTACAGTTAGAAATCCCCAAAGTTTGATACTGTTCATCTGGACGTAGGGTGTCCAAATTCAGAGGCTGCATAGTCAAGTAGTCAAGTATTTATTTATTGTCATTGTCAAAGAACAATGAAATTGCGTTTGGGGCTTCCATCCACCTGAGGACCCGGCTTTCGCGGTCCAAAGCTGGGCAAACACTGTGCGACTTTTTTCAGTCACGTTATTCAGCTTCTGCTCAAACTGTACAATTGACTCTCAGAGTTTAGAAATTCGTAGGTCACGATGCAGGGTCTCACACTCTACGGCCCGATGATCTGATGCTGATGCTGACACTGTGCGTCCATAACATGAAGCTTATAACACAAAATCTGTCTCCCTTTCTGTCTTTTACTCACACAGACACACACACCACCACCATCAACTTTTCTAAATTGCTAATGGAAGACATTGATCAGGCAGCTGTGATTGAGCAGCAATGTCCATCAAACTCTTTTCACAGTTGCTGCGGTCGTCATGATTTTGTGAGGCCACATCGAAAAGGCTCAGATGAGCCAAAGTTCTACAAGTTGTGCCTCCATCGCTTGTGTCCAGATCACATGCTGCTCCGTCTTTTCACTTTCATTTCTGTGTTTGCACATGTGCAGCGTGAGAGGCTGCGGTGACACTCTCACAACGGCTGACAGGATTTCAAACAGGTTTAATTTTCTTAAGACCAAACGATTGATGATCGGGAGCTGGTCATGAGGTGTTAATCGCTTCTCATTAGCCCATGTATACTACACGATGCACGACACACGACGAGGCTGAACCTCGGGCTGATCCCCAAAACGGTCGCACGACTGAAAAATCGGCTCAAATGAGCCAAAAGTCGCACAGTGTATGCCCAGCATAAGTGGGCGGGGTCCTCTGAAAGCCAGATAGGCTGGAAGTGAGTGACTGTGAGATTGGACTGTCGAGCCTTCAGAATTACGTCACCGCTGTCTCGGTGGAGTGAAACTCAGCCGTCTGCTCCTTGCTATCTAAAATGTAACCGGACGCTGGTGTAAATTCTTGACTGTCTCATACTTCTGTTTAATCAGTTTTCTGTTTGACGTTTATTCAGCTGTGTGAAAACCCCAGAGGAATGCTCCCGAGGGATTAATAAAGTTTTATTTAATCTAATCTAATAACTTTAATGTCAGCCAAACCGATTTACTCACAAACAAATAAAACACTGAAAAAGCCAAACAATAACATTTTTAAGTTTTCTAAGTGACTTATATATCATGTTTAACCTGAGTAGCGAAAAACTGCGGGGGTCTGAAAACGATGTGCCGGGAGTTGTTGCTGTTCTCGCCGGCTCAGATATTAGAAGTTTACACAGGTGTAGTCTCCCCAACCGGTCGCAGCAGATGGCCCCACCCCTCCCTGAGCCTGGTTCTGCCGGAGGTTTCTTCCTGTTACCAAAGTGCTTGCTCATAGGGGGTCACATGATTGTTGGGATTTTCTCTGTATGTATTATTGTACGATCTACTGTACAATATAAAGCGCCTTGAGGCGACTGCTGTTGTGATTTGGGGCTGTATAAATAAAATTGAATTGAATCGCCTGAAAATATGTTAAAAGTTTATTTTGAGACCCAGAAAGAGTAATAAGAGTAATATTAAAACGAAGTAGCTGCTTAGTAAATCCATTGTTGGAAACTAGAATTCTGAATTCTGGGATATGGTTTTTCAATTTTGTTGGAAAATCAGGAGAAATTCCATAATGTTCAAAATCAGCACGATGGGAACTGAAGAGTAATGTTTCTCTACTTCCAGGTAGAGACAGAGATCGAAGCGACTACCTATGAGAGCACATCAAGCCTGACATATGATTTAGTATTAAATACATTAGGTTACATAAAACTGGAGCCAGCTGTGATCTTCAAAGTGATACGTGACGAGTGAATCCTTTCCAGTGTGTCCTCAGCTTTAGTTGCTGGTGGTTAGCCACTAACGTTTAGGGATGGGTACCGGTATCCGGTGCCAATATGGCACCAGTTCTGACATAAACAGTAGTAACCAGAACGAAATGCAGCGCACATTTCGGTGCTTTATTTTGGTGCTTTTTTTTCCTAAGATGTCATACACTTTGGATTCTAGCCAATCATTTTACGTTTCCGAGGATAGTAGGCGCACTCAGGTACGTACGTTCTTTTAGAGCAGAGCTACAGATTAAAAATGCCCAAGGCGAAGCGGTCAAAAGTCTGGCTGTACTTCACAGCAAAAGATGCAAACTCAGCAGCCTGCAACAAGTGCTTTAAGCTGATACTGTGATACTGTCAAAGGAGGTAACACCTCAAATCCGATGAAACACCTGGCAATGTATAGCATTTTGTTAAAAGCCGAGAAATGCGCCATATTTGATAGCTTGCTGCGAGAGCTCACACCGTGCACATCTACTGCGGGTGTGGTGCCTGTTATCGGACCCGGAGTGAGCAACATCCCCCAAGAACCCGAAGAGGAGAGTCCTGGCCCCTAGCCCTGCCAGTGTAGCAGAAATGATGAGGATGATGATGCAGCAGCAGCCGTTCTTCTCTGCGTGAGTAGCTTAATGTTGTTCGTGTGTAATTTACATTGAGTAGGCTAACCACGTTATTACATTAATGCATGTAAGGTGAACTAGCAAACATCATCATAGCTACATGTGGCTGTCTTCTTGTTTGATGGCAGATACTCCCTTCACCCTGGCCAAAAAGGATGACCAAAGAAAAAGAGGGAAACAGCTAAACATGAGAGGTTTTTGGACATATTTTGTGTTCTCCATTCTTTAAGCACCGGTTTCAAAAGTACCAGTTTGGTACTGGTATCGGATAAAACCCAACCGATACCCATCCCTACTAACGTTAAAGGGTTATGGTAAATGGCCTGTATTTGTATAGCGCTTTACTAGTCCCTAAGGACCCCAAAGCGCTTTACACAACCAGTCATTCACACACACAGTCGCACACTGGTGATGGCAGCTACATTGAAGCCACAGCCACCCTGGGGCGCACTGACAGAGGCGAGGCTGCCGGACACTGGCGCCACCAGGCCCTCTGACCACCAGAGGGAAGTGTCTTGCCCAAGGACACAACAACCAAGACTGTCCAAGCCAGGGCTCGAACTGGCAACCTTCCGATTACAAGGCAAACTCCCAACTCTTGAGCCACGATAGCCTCGATAGCCTCGATAGCCTTGTATTAAGTTAATTTACTTTAGTGTAGATCTCATCAGTTAGCTGGGCCCCAGCACATTTGTAACCAGCCTGTAGGTAGTGAACATATTTCAGCAGTAGTGTAACATATATAAGAAAACTCTGCAGAGTGACTGTTTCTAACTGTAACATGAAGAGAGAACAGGAAGTGAACAGAATCAGGTCAACAACATCAAATAATTTCCCTTAAAATGTTAAAAAATCACAAATCTAACATGATAAATAAAGTTGCTCACAGCGTGTTAAGATTCCAGCCAGAATCAGCAGATACAGCACTCCCAGGGTCACTTCAAACGCTCTGAAACAGCTGCTGTCCACAGCTGGAAGCTTTCTCTGGGTGTGTTCATCTACAGAGAAAATACACAAAGAGTCCATTCATGGAGCACTAATGAGGGGCTCTGGAGCTCCTTCTTCTTCCTCCCTTTTATTATCTGTAGTTTGTATTTTTAGTTCGTTCCTACTTACCAGCTTCTTGTAATCCACCAGCAGGGTTCTGCTCTCCATCGTCTAACATCTCCACCTCGATTTGCTCTCTTCCTCTTCCATCCTCATGGGTCCCTCTGCTGTATTTCACCCTGGAGTCATGGACACCTTGAGTTTGTGTCGACATCTTAAGCTAAGAAGATATTTGACCGTCCGTCACTGTCTGCCTGTTTCTTTGAGTCAGGCAGCTTTGAACTGAAAATATCCAGGAAGTCAAACCAGAAGAGAGCCACAGTTTTCCTGTCACGTCATGATGTGTGAAACGCTGAGTTATTTAGGAGCACTAACAGCATCCAACAAGATCTGAAGTTCAGTTCACTTCAAATGCAAAACTTTGACTGATGCAGTTTTAATTGATGACAAATGTGAACGAGTCAGAAACAGCAGAACAAACCACGAACACAACAAAGACTTCAAAAAGTCATTAAAACACCTCCAGAACATTCTGAACATTTCCTGTCTGAATATCTCAGAGACACTGAGGCTGAACTCCGCAGCAGCAACATGCACATCAATGCCTTTGTTAGATGCTGCTTTCATGAGTTTCTACATGTTGTAAGTCCACAGAATGAGAAGAGAGAAGAAGAGTTTGTGACACAGGAAATATGACGTCAGTGTGAACTAAGCTAACGGGGCGTCACGGCGTTGCAGAGGTTCGCTCTGTCACTGTCACCGTCTCCAGTTGAAAACAGACAAACAAACAGAATTCAACAAGACCTGAAGTTCAGATTTATCAGTTTAATTACTGAGATTTCATTGATGCCGTTGTGATTAATTACAAATGTGAACGAGTCAGAAACGAACAGCAGAATAAAGCACAAACACAGACAGCTTAAATACTTTTCTCCATTTATTTGGAAAACTTTTCCATTACATGCATTAATACATAGATACTTGTACACCAATACAAGCAAAGCCACAAATGTATTTGAAATGTTTGTCATAATGCACAGACACTGAGCTTGAACTTAGCAGCAGCAACTTAAAAATAGCTTTCTCAGAAGCTGCTGTCATCACACAATATATAATGTTAGTAATGAGCGAATGTTTCTGATGCAGGAAATATGGCGTCAGTGTGAACTTCAGTTATTTCGAGTTTACCAGCAGAGAAATTCACAGCATGCAACAAGATCTGAAGTCATTTTGATGAATTGAAACGCTGAAATGTCTTTGATGCAGTTAGAATTCAATGAAATGCTGAAAATCATCTGAAGCGAAACACAACCAGGGTCTGTGGTCATTAGTTAAAAGCTTTGCACCAATCACATGTGGACACATACAGGCTGCAGGTAAAGGGTCCAAAGCAGGAAGTGTGTCACATGGAAACTGGCTCTGAAACTGTCTGATTCATGAAGACGACTAAGGCCCACGTTACAAAAAGACCCGAGTCATGTTCAGAGTCATCAACAGACTTTAACCGTGTCCACTGTGAGGGTTGTTGTTTCTGGACTTTTCCTTTCTGTCATGCTGAAATGAACTTTGACCTTCAGTGTGTTAACGCTGTGCAGGCAGCTCGCTGCAAACTAAGCAGGAAGGTAAAGTTGTGTTTTGATGTAAGTGAAGAAGAAGAAGGAAAGTTGTTTTAAACGGATTCATCTTCACTTATTCACACGTTGTAAGTTTGACAAACTGAATTTGTGCTGGTTTCAGTCTCTTGGTTCCTGATTTGTAGCTAAAAGTAAGAAGCAGCAACTTTCAGCTGTTTGAGAGAAACTGAAGAAGATATTTACTGAAGTTTTAGGACCAACAGGCTGATGAATAAACCAAGTAAAGCAAAGTAAAGACAAGCTGCACTTTGACTTTTATTAGAACAATTTGCTGGAACTACAGAGTAATGAAGTACTTCAGGTTTTGTGTGGATGACTTCCAACCTTACTGTACAGCACAGAGCACAGAGGGACAATATATGTAATCAATATATGATGCAGAATGAACAAGTAAAGACTGTAAGCTGAGTCTGAGGCTCATGCAGGACATTTCATAGTGAGGTGTCTTTGGTTGGATTATTCAAACATTTACATCAAAGCACCAAACTCATTTCTCACAGATGAAGGTCGTTGAATGAGAATAATATGACCATATCCATCTCCCATCACCGTCACAGCAGCCTCCATAGTAACCAGGACGGGAATTCTCATGTCCTCCTGCCCAGAACCTGTCAGAGAGATCAAATCTGATATGAAACTGGACTAAACTCATAACTATTGTCACATTCATATAAATATGCGTCTCTTTTGGAATATTTCCAATATTTGCTGTATTTCTTTCCCAGGTTTCTCGCCCACTTTCCCTCCTTTAGACTTTTCTCTGAGAATCATCATGCACACTAAAACAGCTTTCAAGCTTTGATGAATATGAAATCTTCCTGCTGTAAAAATGGAGAATAAAAAGAAGTCAGAGCTGACTTTCTGCTGTTTGAAACTGTTTGTCAGCTGTTTACAGACATCACTTTGAAATGTGTGTCTATCAGGTCATATTTACTGAAGCTTCTTCCTTCATATGTTCTGAAGTTTTACAAACACCAAAGAAGAAGAGACAGGAATTCTCTGAAACACTTTTTGTTCTGTGAGAAAAGAAACATTACAGCACAAAAACATGAAGACAAATTGAACAAAGTGAAATGTGTCGGTCGCTGCTTTGAACATGTTTCAATCCTGATTCCTTCAAACTGACTTGTTGTAACTGAACGTCATCACAGACTGCAGATGAAGAGAGTTCAAGCACAGCTGTTCATTCAAAGGAGGATTTCTGCTTTTCTTTACATTCAGTTTGTGGGGCTGTTGGAAAATAGCTCAGCTCATGTATTGCTGATCTATCTTCCAAAACATCAGTGTTTCACTTCTAAATAATAACTCTGGAATAGAAACAAACTAATGTCTCACGTTTGTGTCAGCGCTGATCCGTCCACCCATTCCCATTTAGATCTTCCTGATGTCTGGTTGGCTCTCAGACCAATCCAATAGTATCCTCTGAAATTACTGACAAATTCCTGTTTGAGAAGAGACACAAATATTGTCTCCAGTCATAATTCAGCACTTCTGTTGTAGTGACATCATCTTGTGAACATGTCTGAAGGAAGAATAACTGTGATGAAACTTTTCTTCCACTGTGCAGAAATCAGAAAGAGCCAAAGAATCAATGAATATCAGCTCCTCCTGTAGCTCAGTCAGTGTTGCAGTGGAATCAGTGTTAACAAATCATTTGATTCAGTTGGATTGAATCAGAAAAATAATCTGGATTATGAGGATTTCTCTCATTTTATAACATTTCTGTGTAAATTAAATGTTTGTCAAATGTGTAAAAACTTTACGTTTGAATGTGTCTGCAACAAAAAAGGAGAATCCAAGAAATCCATCAGAGTGGAGACAGGAAGCAGGTCACAGACCGACAGCCGGTCAAAGACACAAGTAACAGAGGACTGTCAGCTCCATCAAAGATCACACAGACATGAACAAACACACCCACCTGTTCCTCTTTGCTGTTTATCATCACCAGATCAGCTCCTTTATCCTGACAGGCTCTCCTGCTGTCAGACCAAGTTTTCTTCTCAGTGGATTTAAAGTAGCAGCTGCATCCAAATCTCATCCATCCTTCTGGACACTTCTCTTAAAGTCAAACACATGTTTTAAAGTCAGACTTTGTGTCCTGTTGTATCACATTAATCTTTGGTTCCTGTCATTTTCCCTGTAAATGCTTCATTTAAACTCAGGTTTTCTCTCTTATTCATAATGAACTGAAACTTACATTTATACAGAGAAACTGTTACACAGCATCAAACATTTAGGATTCAAAACAAAGACACAATCAGGTTATCACTGTGTAACACTGATGTTTTCTATCAGTTATTCAAACTTTATTACCTTCTATCTTCTCCTTCAGCTTCTTCACTTCTTCCTGTAACTGACTGTTGAGTCGTTTTGTCTCTGTAGAAAAAAACATGTTAAAAAATGTAAATATAAATTTTATCTGACATTAGTATTTTCTTGTTAATTTTAAAAACTTTCTTACCTTGATGTTCAGTCTGTAGCTCGTTGTAACTGTGGTTCAGTTTATTGTGTTTGAAGTGAAGTTTGTTGAATTCACTCTTGTTCAAAGCATCTGAAATATTTCAGTGAAACCAAAATAAAATAAAATAAAATGAGTGAAACGTTGAACAGAAATAATCTTCTTCCTCTGCTTTGTCAAATATCAATAAGAGTCAGAAACTTGCAGCCATTGCTCTTTAACATGTCCTGTGGGTGGAGGTGTTAGAACTACAGGAAATCTGATGAGCTAAATACGTATCAACTGTGAACAAAAACCACTGACAAGATTCAGAATAATTGTGCTTCAGTGTGGAGGAAGAAGGTGAAGAGTCAAACAGCATTTCTACACCTGTAGTCAGAGATGTTATCTATATGCTTTGAAAGAATAGATTCTGACTCATGTGACATGTGCCTGTTCTCACTGAAAATATGTCTTTTTACATTCAGTCAAAGCTGCTCTGAGGCTTCAACACTTCCTCTTTCTGCTTATTTATAATTAATAAATGTTTCTTCCTGCAGCTTCCAGGAACTTCCTGCTTTCAGACGTCCTTTTGCAGGCGTCTCTGTTCTCACATCATAGATTTGTGATGTTTCTGCTGATCCAGCATTAAGTCTGTCACAGCTCCACCAGGAGCTAAAGGTCAGCTGAAGATCATCAACTGATTTAAAACATAGAATCAAACCACCTTAAAATCCAAATATCAGCAGCTGCTGGGAGTTTTCTCTGTGTTGTTGTTTTTGTTATTGTGGAGTCTTTACCTGATAATATAAAGAACCTCGATGCAACTGTTGTTGTGATTTGATGTAATAAAAAAAGATTCATTGATATATCCCAGCAGATGAATGGAGCTAACATTAGCTTGTTAGCTACCTGCTTAATACAGCAAGTGAACTAACTAGTCGCACAATGACAGACGGCCACTGTCTAACATAGTGTGGCTGCACCTGCATCAGTCTGCAGCAGATGCTGCTGCCTGTCTGCTTTGTTGATGTAATCACAGAATCAGCGTGTTGAGTGAAGAGTTTGAAGGAACAACAAGAACATTCACTCCACAACACACACAAGATATGAGCCAGGAATCATGCACACAGACACACACCTGCTAATCAGTGCTAAGTAACAGACTGATGAAATACTAGAAGCTCAGTCAGCAAAACCAACGTGTTGGTCAGGCTGTACCACACAGCAGCTCATATTATTGATCAGAGAATTCCATTTAAAATGCCACCGTGCAGTTTTTATGAAGAGGAAACTATCCTTAGAGACCAAAACTCATTTGGTCCTGAAGGGAAACATGTTTTTACTGTAGCAAAGGTGCTCATTTTAACATGGGAGTCTGTGGGGACTGACTCGCTTTCAGCATCAGCCTCCAGTGGTCATTAAAGGAACTGCAGTGTTTGCTGCTTCTGTGTTGGCTTCATGTACTTCCTGTATTTGCTGTGGCAGAAGGACACGTTCTGGTTGTGAAGCTGCATGTTTGTTGGCTGCTGGGATTCAGTATCAGTCATACATTCATTTGCAGGAGAAGTTCAGAGGTTGTATCTTATCTTACAGCATATGGACAGGATGATGATCCCAGCTAACATCAGGAGGCACAGCACTCTTAGACCCAGTGTAGCACATCTGAAAGAGCCCTTCAGGACTGAAGGAGGATTCAGAGTCTGTGGTCCTGTTAGAAAGCAGTGTGGATGTTGGTTTGTGCTTATTTCCTGTCAGTCTGTGGTTAACAGACCTGTGGTTGTGGTTGTATCAGCTTAACGTCAAAAAAGGGCCGGTTGCCAAAAAACAAAGGAAATATAACATCTGCGCTGTGACTGAAAGAAGTTCCTGTTAATCAATAAGTGACGTACAAACTATTGTGGGAAAGAATTTAAATTAAAAAGGTTCATACAGCAAATGGAGAAACAGATGTTTGATGGGCTGCAGTAATTTGGCATTAAAAGCTGACTGTAACAAACTGGAAGTACATTTAGATTCATAATTGACTTACCTCCTTCCTGCGACTGAAAATGATCATAACTATCTCTGATCTCATCTGTACTCTCGTAGATATCCACCTCCCTCTGCTCCCACTCTGCTCCGTCCTCCTTTCTGCTGTATCTCACCTTCTTTGATAGATCTGGTTTGGCATAAATATCTGAGGACATCGTGAGAAGACTGAGACGCTGAGCAGGAGTTTAAGCTGTACTCTAACAGTTCTGCAGTACTGACCCTGGTAGATATCGAGCTGTTTTATTCTTGTCCAGCCTTCTGTCTGCTTTCAGGCAGGAAGAAGCTTTGAGGAAGTGGCAGCGTGTAAGGAAACACAGACTGTGTGATTAATTTGCATAAAAATTTCTTAACTGCATTTGTTTCTCTTAACTACAGATAAAACTCTGTGTTGTACAATATGTGTACTTTGTTGAGCTTTTGACTGAGTTTGCATAAAGCAGAAAATTTATAAACTCTTCATTTTCTAAAGACGTTGAACGTTCACACATAAAAGCACAAACACAGTCACACCTCAGTGTCACAGTTGGTTCGACCCAGGAAATGTTATTTTGTCAGTTACAGTTTGTTTTCTTTCTGTTGCCTTATAGAGAAACAAACTGTTGAACTGTTGAGGTTCATCCAGTCGATGTGGAAAGTTTGAACCACGTCTCAAACACTCTTTAAATGAACAACAATTAAATTTAGCTTCACTGCTGACCGAAGATTTTAAAGTTTTTTAAACTGTAACTTTTCCTTTCATTTCTACATTTTGCACTTTCAGGAAAACTGATGCAGTTCATTGTTTTTTCTCGTGTGTTCTTTGATTTGATTTTCAAAGGAATACAGAAGTACTTGTGTGAAAAAGTGTCCAACATAAGGAGGAAAAGTTTTTTGAAATTACAGTGCACTTAAATGTTGCACATCTTACTGTGAGGTCACCAGGAAATACTCCTTGTTGTTGGGCCGTCCTGGTTAACACACCTCTGCAACATTACATGAGAGTCGGGCACTCGGCCTCTGGATTTGTAAATCTGGGCTGGTGGGTTCAAACACTCCTCAGCCTCCCTGAGAAGGTTTATGTCAGAATATTGAAGGAGAAACTCCATCCAATTGTGAAATCTCAAATTCAGAGCAACAGTGTGGTTTCCATCCTGGTCATGCAGCACTGGACGAGCTCTTCATTCTCTCCAGGATGTGTGGGAGTGATGAGCCCAGCTGGAGCTCCTCCACACTGAAAGCATCTGACTAGGATTACACCTGTGTGCTACTTAGGTGTTGGAGGTTTGTCCAACTGGAGGACACACGTTGTCTTAATCATTCAATTCAGTTTGACTTCTACAGCTCCAAATCACAGCAACAGCCTCAAGGTGCTTTATGTTGTGAGGTCGACCCTACAATAACATTACAGTAACAAGTTTGCTGTTTGTGTGTTTTCCAGTGAAGTAGGAGAAACACAGCAGTGTGGGAACAGGAACTAAACACAATCAGGTCTGCAGCATCAAATCATTTCACTTCTAATGTTCAAAATCAAACATCTAACATATTGGAATCAAATTCCTCACAGCGTGTCATGATTCCCACCACAATCAGCAGATACAGCACTCCCAGGTTCACTTCAAAAGCTCTGAACCAGCTTCTTCTCACAGCTGGAAGCTTCTTCTCGGTGTGAACATCTACAAAGATAAAACAAAAAGTCCATTTATGAAGCACTAATGAGAGACTTTGGAGCTTTTTATTAATCCTCACTGTAGGAATGATCCCAGTAGAAAGTAAATCAGATTTACCAAACAAATTAGTCGAGTTTGTTAAAAAGTTACAGGAACTCAAACAAGGACAAAGTAATATTAGTCCATTCCAGCTGTTGTGATCGGTCGATGCATTTCTGGCCACTTCTTGGTCGCAGCTTTTGAATAGATCAGTGAGAGAAAAACAATCCTCCTCTCAATATAAGGACTAAATGAGCAAAACTATCCTGATGGACGTGAGGGAACGTAGAAAGAAGTGTAGAAACCTGAGGGACAAATATGGAGGAGAGTCCCAGAATATTAGTTTGTATGATGATCATCTGCACGCGGGTCAGAGCTGTGAGGAAAGTGTAATGCTGAGGAACGACCATGAACTGTGGAAACTTTAAAGCTGATTTATAACAGAGTGGTGCTGGGTGTGTGTTACTCTGTGTTTGTGCTTCAGTTACACTCAGTTAGCTTTCTGCTAGCTGTTTCCATCAGTTTGCTTCTCTCCTCTCTACACTCACTCATACTGCATTTTGATGCAGCTGAACTCACAATGAATCTGCATCTTTCTGTTCCTGTTGTCAGACCACAGAACAACTATGAACTACTGATTTAAACGTGCTGCATTAACTACAGGGGGAAGCTGCTAACACACTGCAGCTGCATACCAAGCTGCTGCTCTGCACCTCTGAAAGACGCATTTTTGGAAGCACAACATTGTCGGACAAACTCGACATTCACATATGTTTAAAACAATGACTGTGTGGACAATCTGGCTGTATTTACAGTCATGTTATCACTTGGAGAGGAAGCAGAAAGAGCTGTGCTGCTCCTATTGGCTGCTTCTCTCTGCCACTCACAGACCTCTTCCTGAAAGCAGAGCAGCAGCTGAACCAGTTGGACTTGAAGCCACAGACACTGAAACAGTCAGACGGTTAGAAACGGAGCTCCTAACTGGGAGTAAACAGGCCCAGTGCAACAAATGATCTGTGTGCCAGTTTGGACTGGAAACATATTCTGGGCACATGTGACACGAACACTAATATGTCTTAAAGTGGTCGGATATCAGAGCTTTAAAAGACACTGAACAACACTTTCATCACCAACATTTTCTTTGGTTTGGTCACTTTGATGATTTCCTGCTTACCAGCTTCTTGTAGGCCAACGTCAGGGTGCTGCTCTCCATCATCTAACACCTCCACCTCACTCTGCTCTCTCACTCCTCCATCCTCCTGGGACCCTCTGCTGTATTTCACCCTGAAATCTTCAACACTTTGAATTTCTGTAGACATTTTGAGCTGAAAGATCTTTGAGCAGCTTCACCGTCTGTCTGTGTCTTTAAGTCCGACAGTTTTGACGAGAAAACAA